TTGCCTAGTATGCAGGAGGCCCTTGCTTTAATCCTCAGAACCCCCAAATCTGACATTCAAATAATGACCCTCAGTTATCAAGAAAATATTCTAGTAGGGCACATGGCTTACCATAATACAGAAATACATCATTTTAGTAAATTTTCCAGTAGCAAAATATATGTCAAAACATAATTTTTGATTCCAAAAAATAATTTTTCTTATCTAAGACAGATAGCTAACTGTATGATATTATCAACAGATATGAATTAAAAAGGAAAACATTATACAAACCTAGATCTTCAGGCTTCATTATTGCTTACGAAATTTCGTAGACAGACTATTGACCCCTAATTTAGGGTTGGCAAATGTTTTAATAACCATTATGAGCAAAGAAACTGCAATACCTGTGGAATGTATACATGGGATACCAAAAACACCTTATTAGCCTTTATGAAATTATCCATTATATCTAAACAATAGGACAAAAGGAAACTTGGGAGGGAATGTTTGCCCTATCTCTGAATCTATTAATTCTATTTTCTTCCTCAAAATACTTATTAGTTCTTCCATGATAATACACACACACCTGCTTAAAGTCATTCAAAGATTGAATGACATTCAAGATTTTTTCATTACTGAATAAAATTCTGACATTACCAGTACTATCTTGGTTAATCCTAAGCTACTCTTGCTACAACTGCAAATAAAATAATTTATATCTTAAATTTTAAAAAAGACTACAAACCTCCCTATTATTTTTTCAGCCACCCACTTATTTGTAATGGCTAGTCACAAAACTTCAACGTACTGCATCATAATGTTAACAACTACAATAGCAATTGCTAATGTTTATTGAGCACTTGATATGTTTCAAGTGAATCTCTCACCACATCTAGAGAATACTTCCCTTTGTACAAGATTCTTGGTTCTGTCCTAATCTGCCAGATGCACGGGGTAGCAAATAAAGGGCAAAGGGAAATAGTCTATTCTAAGGAAACCTCTCCCTGCTGCCCTCTTTCTTTGGAATAAACTGATGACTCCATTTTTTAAGAAGTGATCACACCTCAAACTCCAATTTACACCCTGCTCCAAAAATGTGCTAAGATCTCGTCCACTTGCTCTTGCTTTGAACTTGAAAGATGTCATTTCTGAAGCTAGATCAGTATCCCACCTTGGTTGTTTTCACAAATTTAATTAGAATTGCTTTTAGGGGCTTAATTTTTAAAATATTAGATTTCTTATGTCGGAAATTATGTTTTTAAATCTGTGCTTTCTCCAAAGTTTAGTGTTGTTTGAAGCATTATTAACATGACTGAAAAATAGATAGTATAAGTTAACTGAAATCACACTTAGGGATTTTTTTTAAAGGCTTTCTTAAAAAGGTAGATGATAATAAAGCAATGAAGCAAGATGTTCTTCATGTACAGGCTTAAATAATTTAAAAAATATTTTCCCCATTTTGTCTTTCAAGAGTCTTAAGAATTTTATCCTAATGAATGGATATTGCTCTTGCTCTGTTTGAAAACACTTCTATCATACAACGAATAATTTACCCTTTTCTCAAAAACATTTTTCTCCTCTATGAAAGCAACTTTGATAAAATGTACTTAGAGAAACAATAGAAGTTGAACATTCATAAACACTGCACGCTTTTGTTAAGACACTAAAAAGTGTAACATATTCATTCCTCACTCTTTATCTCAAAATACTGACTTTCTGATTCTAGCGAAAGATAATTTTAGCGCCTCATCAAGACAAAATACATAAAATTGGCATATTTTTTATATGCACACAAACGGAGAGAGCATCTTTCCCAACTGTGCTGCAGAAAATGAAATGCATCTGGTGTGACAATATGGCCTGACGCGTGAACCAGAATCAGTGGAAGAAAGAGGGTTTTTTTCTCTGTTTTTCCTTATTCTCAAAGCAGAATATTTCAAATACGCACATGCCCAACAGCAAGGCATCCGTAAGTTTGTTGGTGTGCATTTCAAAGGTAAAACTTGGCCAAAAGAAAAACCTAATAGCGAGGAGGGCTGGCAGAGGCAGCGGAGGGAACGCAGTTTGTTCACTTTTAATCACTGTACATCAGTGACTTCCGTATCTCTTTCCCCCACAGTCCGTAATGATATTGTTGCTTTTACTTAACATCTCTACCCAGGGTCAGAGTACAGGGACATATGCTGGTGAGGTCTCATGCTGAGCTGGGGCGCGGAGGTGTGCCCTGCAGAATGTGGTTGATGCCAGGGTCAAGCAGCCATAAGAGAAAACCTCAATAATTTGCCTATTTTTGCAATGAATTTTCTCTCTGCCTGGAGAGAAAGTTGTTTGCACACAGACAATCCGAAGACAACATAAATGCTTTTCCTGTCTTTTCTATGTACCCATTTGTGCTGGTGACCTGGAAATAAAGCAAGTTTACAAGCTGCTTCCCATACCCAGGTACCTTGGCAAGGAGGAACCAGAAGGATAAGAAAAACCCCTACGATGTGCCAGAAGAGCCAAAGGTGCTGCCAAGCTAAGCCTAAGTCTGGGTGGCACTGGGGGTGCTCTTCCGCCTCCTGTTCCTAATTCTATTTCTTCCTCTTCCCCAGTCAGAAGTGAGCTGGGCTCCTTTGAGCTGGGCTCCTTTGAGCTGGGCAAAGAGTATTTGGAGGACTAAGAAGTCTTTCCCTCTGTAATTCAGAGCACAGGAAATTCTACTTCTTAGAAAACAAAGTCCCTGAGCAGCAGGCACTGGGGACAAAGGCTGGTGCTTCTTCCTGGGTCTGTGTCTGGCATCGGGCATGTCCCTTAAGACTCACTATTCTTCGTGCCTGTATCGCAAAGTTCACCGATTTATTTCCCACCTGTACTTTAACTTTTTGAAAAATTCTCTTCGTGTCTACATTCAAATGCTAATTCTTCATCACGAGAAGCTTCCTTAGAACTACAATGGAGATTATGATTAAAAATATTTTGAAGTGCGACGGTATACAACAATGCATCACAGGACAATTTAGAAATTAATATGCTAATCTATCATAGAACTCATTTGTGTAGGCATGAGGAAAACCAAAACGAATGCAAACTTGCAAGTCTCTGAAACAGATTAACCAGCAAGAGCAACATTCCCTCTAACACTTAAGTTTTAAAAGTTGTCAAAGATAGTTGCAATCATGGAAAATGATTCTGAAGACTGACTTGAGCACAAACATCTCTCTAGCATTTATTACCCAACTGATCCCGGAAAGCTTACTTAACTTTGTCCATTGGTGCATCTCGTAATCCATAAACCACATAGACCTTCGGTGAGAATTAAATTATGTAAGATAAGAGAGTGCCGAGCACACGGGGAAGCCACACTCTTACTGTTAATTTAGTATTTTCTCCAAGCTAGGGTCATATCTTTTGTATACGAAATTCATGCTTGCATAAGAATATTTTTAAAAATACAAACTGATAGTTTCTGAAAGCTTTTTGGTGAAAGGGAACATGAGGATGAATCCAGAATTCCCTATTTTTGCTTTGAAAATACCTTATTTCAGTGAACTGCAGAATGACTTAGTAAACCAACATTCACAGTAGCTCGCTATACCCCTTCTAACATGATTCAATTATTATTTGTTGTTCTATTATCCTTCATAGTAAAAGTTATGAAAAACAAAATGTAAAGTGTCCCCTAACTCTAAAGCTGTTACACATAAAGATTATACGCACACTCAACAATATTTTCTTTTCTATGTAGTATTCATTTACGCTGAATGAAAAACATGCCTTTAAGCATACCTTTTATTTTACTTTTGAAACCAAAACCATCTCCATCCCGTTCAAGATAACCAGAAAAATAAATCTATTTGTGTTTTTCTGTCCATATGCTCTACCTATTCTTCTGAAATAAAATAGTTTCCTAGAACATCAAGTATTTGCTTACTACAAGCCATTGCCCATATTAAACAATAAAATATACTGGTTTTCTGATTTACTTTCACAAACTTCACTAATAAAATAGTCAATAAACTATAACGATTTCATCTAAAAGAGCTTCTAGTCCTATATCTCACCCCGCAACTCGTAGCCTAATGTTTTTTATAGCTTTAGCTTTTATAGCACAGCTTTTACTTTAATTAAAGTTTTAATGTATGTGTCATTCATCTAACATAATTAATGAGTCAAAAGCATGAGATTTTAACAGGCTAAGATGTATTAAGAAGAAAGAGTTATTTAGATACCTGGCAGAATAGAATTTTTAAAATATTTTCCAGCATTAACGCTGTTTGATAAACATTTATCGAAAGATAGCATTTCCTCTTCAAAGTAAAGGGAGTAAAATCAGCCAATCATGGGTGGCATGCCTTACAGATCCTACAACAGAACGTTTCATAAAAGCACATTAAGAACTTGATTCTTGTCTGAGTAGTGTCGGCACGATGTACAAAGCAGCATATTTTGAAAGCAAGCGCTTCCGGTGACTATTAGAACTTAGAACGGGAAGACGCTCACGCTGTCCACTTGCGGGACAGTGACCCACCTGCTGCAGGACGTTTCACAGGAAAGCGGGGAAGGACGGGCTTCTGCCAAGGGCTTCCCCCAGCACACGACCTCCTGGGCCGCCGCCGCCGCCGCCTCGCCCTGGGCGTTGCTACCCCTTCCTGCCCACCGCGGGTCCCAGCGTGGCCCCTCCACACGTCGTCATTCCTTCCTTAAGTTAAGACTGGGGCCTTTTTCTATTGCCAAGGTGAGACTTGGCTGAGCTTTCCCGTAGTCTCCCCACCCCCCAAATACTCCCTTTATCTTTTTTTTTTTTTTTTTTTCACTGATAATCCTTAAGCTACCCAAAGGGCTTCTGGCCACAGGTGTCATTCTCATTAGAAGTGAGGGTGCAAGTCAGAACTCCACCGTTCCTAAAGGAAAGCGGGATGTTTGCCCAGCACTGTTGGATCCACTTGGTAGAAAACACGCAAGAGCCAGCTCCGGGTGGCGGCGGCTGGAACTGGAGGCGTGGTCCGAGCGCCGTCCCGGCCGCGCCCCGCACTCACCTGGCTGCTGCCGCGCTCCTCATGGGTCTCGGAGGTCGGAGGCTCCGCGGGGCTCCGGGCCGGCTCTGCGGGGGGCGGCGGCTCCAGCAGCTGCTCCAGGCACGCGGTGCCCGGCAGAGAGGAGCTCTTCTGGTGGCACAAGTGCGCCCCGGGGCCCCGACGCCACGCACCCTCATCTCCGGCGCGGTCGCCCCTGGGGGGCGGCTGCGGAGACGAGGACAGGGAAGACGAGGCGGAGGACGAGGACGGCGCCGAGTCCGGGGAGCGCCCGCCAGGAGGCGTCCCCGCCGCTGCTCCGGCGGCCGCCGCGGGTCCTCTGGCCGCGGGCAGCAGATGCTCCCGGATCCGGCGGCGCAGCGCGGACCCCTGCTCGGCTCGGCCCGCGGCGCGGGGCTCCAGCGGCTCGGGCGAGGAGCAGCACAGGTTGGGCTGGGAAGACGAGAAGACCCTGTCCAGCACTTGCTTCCGCTTCTTAAAGCCGCTCCACTTGCTCCCCGAGCTCCCCACGCCGGGCAGCGCGTCCCGCGTGGCCCCCGGGGGCGGCGGGGACGGCGACGGGGTGTCCGCAGTGCGGCGCTCCTGGCCCCCCGCGCGCCCACCCGCGCCGCCCTTGCCCTTGCCCACCCCCAGCTGCAGGTTCTTCCAGAGCCGGGCGTGGAAGGAGGAGGACGCGGCCGCAGGCTCGGGCTCGCCCGCCGCGGGTGCCCGGGGCTCCATGCTCCACTCGGCGCCCCTCCGCTCCCCTCCTCCTCCTCCTCCTGCGCCCGG